AATTGTACTTTATTCTTATAATGTATAAATTAGAGCAGTGTGTACCAGGATGGATAAATCTTGAAGACATCATTTTGTGCAGAAAAGAAAATCGCTGAAGGCTATGTAGAGCTACCATGAAGATTTAAAGCCATAAAACCCTTGATCTGGTGGTACGTACTTGTAATTCCAGCATTAGGGGAGGCTGAGGCAAGAGGATTGCAAGTTTGAGCCCAGACGGCTACACAGTGATTGAGCAAGACCCTGTCGGAAAATAAAACCAATTTTTAAGGGGCTGGACGTGGTGGTGCATGCCTGTAATCCCAGCACTTGGGAGGCTGAGGCAGGAGGATGGTGAGTTCAAGACCAACCTGGGCTACAAAGTGAATTCAAGGTCAGCCTGAACTGCATAGTGAGCCCCTGCCTCAAAAAGACAAAAATAAAAATAAAATAAAAATAAAATAAATGAATAGATAAATAAACTGGGGATGTAACTCAGTGTAAAAGCCCTAGTTTCAACTGCCAGTACCACAAGAAAGGAAGGAAGGAAGGAAAGAAGGAAGGAAGGTAGGAAGGAAGGAAGGAAGGAAAAGAAAAGAAAAGAAAAGAAAAGAAAAGAAAAGAAAAGACAAGACAAGGGAAGGGAAGAGAAGGGAAGGGAAGGGAAGAAAAGGAGAGAGACAGATAGATGGAGCAGGGCATGCATGCCTGTAATAGCAGCACTTGGGAGGCTGAGGCAGAAAGACTGCCACAAGTTGAAGGCCAGTGAGTTCAACGCTCATCTGAACTATACAAGACCCTGTCTCAAAAACTAAAAAAGAAAAATTTTCAATTAAAAATACCAAACAAGCTTTGTGTGGTGGCACACGACTGTAATCCCAGCACTTGGGAGGCTGAGGCAGGAGGATTGTTTGGAGTTCAAGACCAACCTAGTCTACAAAGTGAGGTGAAAACCAGCCTGAACTACACAGCATTTCAAAAAGACAAAAACAAAACAAAACAAAACAAAACAAAACAAAAAAAACCAACCTAAACTATGTCCAGGTGTGTGGCACACACCTGTAATCCCAGCACTCAGGAGGCTAAGGCAGATCACCAAAAGTTCAAATTCAGCCTAGGCTACGTAGTGAGTTCAACAATTAAAAGCCAGTATCTTGTATTCTGAGTAACTAATTTAAAGATAATAATACACAATGTACAAATCATTGCTACCTTCCTATTATCTTGTAAATTTTTTTTTCTCTTTAAAATAAAGACAGGTGTGAGTTTAAGGCCAGCCCGAACTTCACAGTCAAACCCTATCTGAAAAAGACACATAACAAACAAACAGTGAGAAGAAAAAACTGAAAAAAACAGACAACAACAATGACTACATCATCTATGGATACCTGATAGTGTTTCTGGGGAGAGAAAGGAGATGGAATTTAGAGAGAGAGAAAGGGGGGTTCTTGTTTTTTCTTGTATGAAAACCCGGAAGCAAATATTGTGTAATGTTGACACAGTAAGGTCTGTGGGCTGAGAGTATAGCTCGGTGTTTAGAGTGTGTATTTGGCACGTGCAGGGCCCTCAGTTCAATTCCCAGCACCACATGAAACAAACAGAAAACAAACGAAGATATAGGTGAGTGGGTCCTTGTTTACTACTCTGTTATTTTCTTCACAGTAAAGAAGCTCAAAAACTAAAAGAGAGAGAGAGAGAGAGAGAGAGAGAGAGAGAGAGAGAGCGCTCAAAATACTTCACGAAAAGGGATTGGAACAAGGTGGGATCCCTGCTCATGCTGCACACCAGCAGCTGAGTGAACAGCAGTGGGGAGAAGGCCATGTGCCCTGGGCAGGCAGGGATCTTGGTTACATGCACAGGGAGAGCTTTGCATGAATCCTGACTGTGAGGGTTCATCGGCCCTCTTTGCTCCTCTAACGGCTCTGCTCACTCAGAGGCAATTGCTTTGAGGATGTAAAACATCCTGGAGAAATTACCAAGAAACTCCTGGGAGAGCAGCCGCCCTGGGCTTCCAAGGTAGGATGCTTGGAGTTAAGAAAGATTATGGCTGAGAGGCAGCCCTCGGTGGTGAAGGGTGGCCCAAGATCGCCACCTGCAGGTCAGCTGTTGCTTCTGCCTGCCTTGGTTCAGGCCTCAGCTGTGAGGTGCCTGGCCAGGCGGAGCCACCGGTCCCTCCCACCCTACGTGCATCACCCGTGGCCCCATCAGGGCAACGTCCTGCTCACTCATACCCCACAAGTTTGCAAGGTATTACCCACCAGAAATGATGGCTAGTTATTCATATTGCAGTACTGAGGAATGAACTCAGGTCCTTGGCATTGAGCTCCATCCCAGCCTTTTTCATTGTTTTAGAGACAGGGTCTGGATAAGTCACTGAGTTGCCCAGGCAGGGCTCAAACTTGCAATTCTTCTGCCTCAGCCTCCCCGAGTGCTAGGATTACAGGCATTTGTCACCATGCCCAGGTGGCTTTTAAAATAATTTTTTCCTTTTCTGTTGTGGGAAAGTATGCACAACATAAAACTTACGACTCTTAGCCAGGCATAATGGTACAAACCTGCAATCCTAGCTCTAGCAAGGTTGAGGCAGGAGGATTGTAAGTTTCAGGCCAACCTGAGCTGCACAGTGAGAGCTGATCTCAAAATGAAACAAAACAAACATTCTTGGGATGAGGGCAGAGCTCAGTGGGAATGTGTGCTTGGCATGCGTGAGGCCCTCCACTCTAGCCTCAAGAACACTCACACACACACACACACACACACACACACACACACACAAAGCTATCATAAAGCTACTGCAAACATTTTTTTTTTTATTCTCCTTTGTATTTGTTTAAGACAGGGTCTCACTACGGAGCCCAGGCTGGCTTCCAACTCTAGGCAGTCCTGCCACGGCCTCTCATGTGCTGGGATTACAGGTGTGTGCCACCACACTCACTTCTTGATTTGTGTTTATTTTCCAGTTTTTAATTTTTAATTTTAATTTTTTTTATTTTTGTACTGATTTTGAAGGAATCCATGCTTGGTGAAAAAAGTTCAAATACCACAGAAAAACATGACCACCCTCTAGTTCTCACATAAAACCTCTCCACGGTTTGCAAAGGCCCCAGGGCCTTTGCACTTTCCATTTGCATTCAGAAAGGCACCTACAACCCCATGCTGTTCTTCCACAGCTGGCTTCTCATCAGCATCTCAGGTCCTAGCTGGACTGTGCCTCCTCCGTGGAGGCCTCTGCTCTATGACAAAGATAGCCTGGCCTGCACCAGCCGTGCTACACAGTCTGTTATCCACAGTCATTACCACTGTCCTACCACAGTTCTCTCATTTTTCATCTCTTTTTCTCTCTGTCTTCCCAACCAGAGTGGCAGCTCTTGAGGGCAGAGACCTCAACTCCAGAGATATCCAGGAAATGCGGTGCCAAACACACTGCTTCCATTTATTTATTACTCTGAGCGGCTCAGCAGTTGCCTGGCAAGTGCAAGGTCCTGAGTTCAATTCCAGTACCCCCCAAAAAATAAACAAATAAGAAGGAAAAAGAGGGAGAGAGAGAGAATCAGGGATATAACTCAGTGGCATATGTGCCTGCCTGGCAAGTGCAAGGTCCTGAGTTCAATTCCAGTACCCCCCAAAAAATAAACAAATAAGAAGGAAAAAGAGGGAGAGAGAGAGAATCAGGGATATAACTCAGTGGCATATGTGCCTGCCTGGCAAGTGCAAGGTCCTGAGTTCAATTCTGGATACCAAAAAGAAAAAAATAACTGGCCATCTGCACACCCCCTCCAGTGGGCTACATCAACCCAGGAAGAGCAGACCAGCAGGGACCCCACGCCCGTCAAACGTAATCACACACCAGCACCCTGTCCTCCAGGGCCCACCCATCTTTGCTTTGTCCTCGCCTCCTGCCCCCCATGAGCATTTCTACTGGGGTCTGCACATTCTCTCTGCTTTTCTGTGAAGCCTCTGCACCTCCCAAATCTGCCTTCCCTCCTGTTCCCCTGCCTGTGGTCAGTCACCTGCACAGCACACTGTCCAGCTTTGGAGGGAATTATCTTCTCCTGCACCAGCAACTCAGGCAGCCCTGCCTTGCAGTGCTACCCACTGCCCCGATGAATGAAATGCACTGGGTATATTTCGGTACTAGTTTACCTTTTCTGGTGCTGGAGATGAAGCCCAGGGTCTCAGCCTGTGAACTCATATGATCGGGCCACACAGAACCAGACCAGACCTTCTGACATGAGAGGAATCTTTATTGGGTGGGAGAATGAGGCCGCTGGCTGCCTAGCGGACTGGGACAGCCCTGAGCTGAGCAAAGCGAGGGGTTTTTAAGCTATTTTCTGGGAAGGTGTCCCGTGGGTCAGAACATTTCCCAGGGGGAGGGTGTCCATGGATCAGAACAGCCCGAGGGGGAGAGGTGTCCTTCCTCAAAGTTGAAGGTGTGGTTCTGCCAAGGTGGATGGGGGCGGAGTTGGCTTTTGTCCAGAGGAACTGGATGGGAACAGGTGACGAGGAAGGAGTTTTAATTAACTCCTTAATAAAAGAACTTAAATCCCCTGGGGCGGGGAGGGTGAGTTGCCTTGTGACTTATCATGAACCACATGCTCTTTACCACCCACAGGTATCCGAGCTACTCCCAGTCCCATTCCAATCACTTTTAAGGGTGTGGGGTCATGAGGACATTCACTGTCCTGCAGGCCACCGCCAGAGCTCTGCATCTGCCCAGGCAGAAACTCTGCTCCCTTCCTATGCACTAACTCCCCCATGGGCTCAAGAGCACTTTAGGAGGATTAAACATCCCACAACCAGCAGCTACTCCGCAGCCCAGCAAAAGAGAAGACGCAGGGCTTGGTGAGGCATGCCTGTTATCCCAGCGCTAATGAGGCAGGAAGACCTCAAGGTCGAGTCCGGGATGGGAAACTTAGCGTCTTAGTGAGATCTTGTCTCCAAATTTTAAAAAAGGGGGGTGGGGGCTGGGGATTTAGCTCAGTGGCACAGCGCCTGCCTGGCAAGCGCAAGGTCGTGAATTCGATTCCTGGTACTGGAAAAAACAAACAAACAAACAACAAACAAACAAACAAAACAAATTTAAAAAAAGAGATAGGGGCCCTGGATTCAAGTTCCACTAAATGTGAGGCAGAAGCAAGAAGACCCAAATGCGCTTCTGGCAGCTTGCAGAGTCCCGCGGATTTGGAGTTGCTCCTTGGCAACCCACTCCCTCGCGCGCCCAAACTCCTGCAAGCCCAAGTGACCCCTCTCGTCTCGCCCATCCACGTGAGTGTCCTGGCGCGCGGGGCTTCAGTTATCCGCGGATCAAACCACTGTGAGGGTCAGCACGAGGGGAGGGGCGCTGTGGGTATGGACTTCATAAAGGAAGAAAGCTATCCAGCTATGTTTTTGTATTGGGGTGAGAAGTAGTCTTTGTACTCGCATCGGCCATCCAATTCCTTCTGTAGTTTGGGATTGTCCGTTCTTGTGTCGGGTCAGTAGAGGAGTCTAAAACCCAGACTCGTAAAGGGGGGATTTATGAGTAAGCTAAACAGGTTATCTAGCTATAGACGAAGATAGCCCAAGGAGAAATTTGTTGGAACTTGCAATTTTCCATGGTATAGCTTTTTAAGTTGCATCATATTTTCATGCAGTTCCGCATTTTGAAATGAACTCTGGAACCTGCTGGGTCTTCCAATAGTCGGGTCCTCCCCAAATTGCCAGAAGGGAGTAGGAAAGCAGCCAGTGTCATTTTGGACGTAACCATCCGCTGCCATACATGGGGTACTCAAAGTTCCCCGTGAGTTTAGTGGCTTCCCAGAGCAAGTTTACTGATAGGAACGGAGCACTCTTTTCTCACGAAAACCCCGTTGGGGTTAGTGGCAGACACTCTCCTTTGCATCGGAGTTCCTCCGGGCGTTACGGGGGAATTGGGGTTTGGGTTCTCCCCCACGATCCAGTTGGTATGGCCCCCAGGCACAGGCCCAGAGCCCAGCGCGGGCCGGCGCTGTGCGCCCTGGGAGCCCGTGGCGCGCGGCGGAAACGGTAGACGACTGTCGCGGGTGCGGCGCCTGAGGTGGCTGAGGAGCGGGCAGAGCCCGCGCGGCAGCAGCGGCCCAGGCGGATCCCGAGGTGAGGGCGGAGCTGGCGCGGAAGGCAGACCCCGGCCTGGCCGTGTGGTCCTCGCTGCGGCCCACCGAGGAGCCACCGCGGAAGCGGGCCGGCCGTAGTGCGCCGTGGAGGCGGCCGGGCCCGAGGGCAGCGCGACAGAGAACGGCGAGATGGACGAGCCCTACTTCAGCCACCGCAAAGGTTTCGCGGATGGCGCGAGAGAGGAAGGTGAGCGGGACGAGCGTGGCGGTGGGCGGGAGGGACCTCTGCCTGCAGCTGTCTTCCCGGTGGAGCGAGCTGCTACGGTTCCGCGAGTCCTGCTGTCTTCCCTCTGAACAGGCGCGCAGAGATACTCGGGGAGCCAGTCACCTGCGGCACAGCCGCAGTCTGGGGAGGGTGGAGGTCCGGGTGGGTTGCAGCGGGGCCCGTGTGCTTGAGGAGCAGCTGGGGTCAGAGCTGGGCGGGACCACCGGTTTCCCGTCCAGGGACACCAGCGCCGACCAGCCAGACCTAGGGGACGGTCGCTAGGGGGCAGGTCTTGCAGAGCTAGGTCCCCCCCCACCCCAAGCCCTGTAGAAGTGTCTTCCTTAGTAGGACTGTGCCAGGTAGAGCCCGTCGCGTTCTCATCAGCGCTTTCTTTCTAGGTTTGCGTGGCAGACCACCTTCGTAGTGTCCGCAGATTGCCTTTTCAAATTACAGCGTTGATGCTTTTGTAGCTTGCTTTGCCTTCTTTGCTACTGTGGTTTTATAGGCTGTCTTGGTTACTTTTCTCTCGTTGCTGAGACAAAATACCCAACGCCCAAAATGAAGGAAGGAAAGGTTTATTTAGCTTACAGTTTGTGGAGGTTTCAGTCCATACTTGGCTGGCTCGGAGGCAGAAGGTAGCAAAGCAACAAGAACAAAGGGGGGAATGGCAGCCGAACAGCAAACAGCCCGAACAAACCGGAGGAATGGCTCCAAGCAGCTTGTTTCCCTGCCTTAGTTCGTAAACAGGCTACCCCCACCTAAGGGGCGTGTAGCTCTCACATAATCTTTGCCCTCCTCTTCCACAGGCTCAGGATGTATACAAAGTAAGCACTCTGGCTTCCTGCTAAGTCACTTAGCCAAACCTCTAGACTCCCCAAGTTGACACAATGTATCAACGATAACACAGGCATTATTTTTGCTTCCTGGGAGTCTGCTTGCTGAAGTGACTTATGAGGAGAACTGGTGGCATTTTTTAAGCTATTTTAATTCTCCAAGCTGGAATTATATCCTTCATTTCTTCCTGGTCTTTTTATTTTTATTAAAAAAAAATTTTTAAAGCTATTTTCCTTTTTGGTACCGGAAATCGAACTCAAGGCTTTGCACTTGCCAGGCCTGCGCAGAGCTGATGAGCTACATCCCTGGCCCATCCTCCAATTTTTCTGTGTTGACTAATTTAATCCCAAAGTGGGAGCTGGACATAGTGGCACGTGCCTGTAATCCCAGCCCTTGGGAGGCTGAGGATTGCAAAAACAAAATGGGAAAGGCAGGACCACCACTATTTATTTACTTATTTATTTTGAGGGTCTGACTTTGTAGTTCAGGCTGGCCGTGAACTCACAAGGATCCTCCTGCCTCAGCCTTGAAAGTGGTGCAATTACAGGCACGCGCCAGCATGCCCCCCTGTTTTGTATTTCTAGGTGTAGTTACAAAAATACAGAACTACGTGTGTAACACATGGAAAGTGAACACATACTGCCAGTAAGTGTCTTCCAAGCATGGTCGTAAGTATTTCGTACTTACGGTCTGCACTGTGGGATACTTCTCAGCAGCCTTGTTGGGCATTTCACCAAATTAAGGACATCTATCCGGTCCAAGATGCATTATTTATTTTGTGTGCCACGAAGAAAGAAAGAAGAACCATTAATAATTATATAAGCCTAAGAGCTTGTGTGTATGTTTTTCTTTTTTCTGTTTTTCTTTTTCTTTCTTTTGTTTTTGTCTTTTTGAAACGGTGTCAGTATGCAGTTCAGGCTGGCCTTGAGCTCATTTTGTAGCCCAGCCTGGTCTTGATCTTGCAACGATCTTCCTGCCTCAGCCTCCCCAGTGCTAGGATTACAAGCATGTGCCACCACACCCAGCTTATGTTTTCTTTCAATTTATTTACTTCTTTACTTTTTTGAGATAGGATCTTGCTGTATTGCCTAGGCCTACCTTGAACTCCTGATCCTCATGCCTCAGCCTCCCATATTGCTAGTATTACGGGCCATTACCATAGTCTCTTAGCTTTTGTTTTTTGTTTGTTTGTTTCTGATTTTGTTTTTTGAGACAAGGTCTCACTATATAGTTCAGGCTGGTATTGAACTTACCATGTACCCCAGGCAGGCTTTGAATTCATGGCAGTCCTCCTACCTCAGCCTCCTGAGTACTGCTGTGGTTTTACAGGCATTTAAACAAGAGTTTAAATGCCTGTTTCTACCTTGAGATTTTCCTTATGTTTTTTAGCCCACCACTCCTAATAATTTTGATTTTTTTTTTTTTAATCTTTCTTTTTTTTGAGACAGGGTCTCGCTCTGCAGTTCAGGCTGGCCTTGAGCTCAGTTTGTTGCCCAGGCTGGTCTCAAACTCGCAATGATCCTCCTGCCTCAGCCTCCCGAGTGCTGGGATTCCAGGTGTGCGCCACCACTCCTGGCAGTAATTTTGAACTGTCCAAAGTGATGTATCTTAGTATGCTAATGAGATGACTGCTGCCTAGGGTTCCTGATAGTTTTGAGGTGGAGGAGTTGGTTCCAAGGAGGATGAGGCACAGATTAGAGTGTTGGGACTGGAGTCCCTTTGTCCCAGCTTCTAGGGAGGAATGAGGGCTGAAGGTTGAGTCCCTCACTAATGGCCAGCATAGGAGTCAGTCACACCTATGAAATGAAGATCCTGAGAACAGGATGCAGAGAGCCGTGGCAGAGCTGAGTGCTGCAGGTGTAAAGGCCTCACAAGGACATGCATGGCCTCACAAAGAACATGAGAAAAAAAGATTATTGATTACCCTATTCTTCCACCTGCTTCCTTCCGCATTCTAGCCACTCCTCGAAACTCCCTAAGACGTATCATTCCCTTCTTGTAAGTTTCCTAAAGTTTCTATAGTTTCTGGGAAGACTGCTTCACAAAGACTTCGCTTGCCAAGCAGGATGTGGTTTTTTGGCTTAAAAGCTGCTCTCACACCTGGTTTGCTGCTGACCTGATCCTACCCTGTGTGGAGGCTCTCAGGCAGTCGCTGGCCAGCTAATAAAGGCTCATTCTAAAATCTCAATTGGTGATCCGTGTGCTCCGGTGTTTGTCGGTCGGTACCTTGGTTCGGTTCTGAGTACAGAACAGCAGGTGCCCGCAGGGTGACGCTCCTGAGGGCAGAGCAGCCCTGCCTGCCCTCCTGCCGGCCTTGCTCTGCAGCTTTTTGACTGCGTTATTTGTTGGGCCCTTTGTAATAAAACATAATCAGTGGCCCACTAAACTCGGTGAGCCACTCTAGTAAATAATAGGGGCTGGATGCTCTGGAGGTAGGGGAGGGCTTCCTCCACCCAGCCTCCTGGGGCCCTTAGCTTTATGCTGTTTTCTCAATTGTTTGGGGGAGGCCAGCTACCACCCTTGTGCAGAAAAACAGGCGCAGACTGGTGGGTGGGAGGTGACTGTATTCTTTACTTGTGTCTTCATTTTAATTATTTTCTGTCCCAGTTCACAAAGGAGATATTTTTCCTCCTTGAATAATTTGAATTTACTCAAAGAAAAGTGCTATGAATATAGAGGACTTAAATATTTGCTTATTTCTAAAATCTGTGAAAAGTCTACTTTAGAGTCCCGTGCTCTTGACACTGATCGTGCTCTTGACACTGATTGGATTTTTCCCTGTGTTGCTAGAAACCTTGAACACTAGGAGTCTTGAGCCAGGTGTGGTGGTGGGCGCCTGTAATCCCAGCACTGGGGAGGCTAAGGCAGGAGCATCAAATTGTGAGCTCAAGGCCTGCCTGAACTGCAGAGCGAGACCCTGTCTCAAAAACAAAACAAAACAAACCAAACAAACAGACAAAAACTAAGAGTCTTGGAGGATGTAACTTGGGGACAATTCTTCCAGTTTTCCTCATTGTTTGCATTTTACGTTACTAAAGTTTTTTTCTTTGCAGCTCTTCCATTATTGGCAGAAATCAGTTGGCATGCCTTGACTGTTGACAGTATGAGAGGGAGGATTTTTCAAATTTTAATTGTGAAGCAAGCTAGGATCATGATTTCTTTCTTTTTTTTAAGTTTTAATTTCTTTGCAGTAGTAGGGACTAAACCCAAGGCCTTCTACCCAGTTCCATGTTGATTTTTTTTTTTTTTCCTTTTAGTTTTGAGACAGGTTCTTGCTAAGTAGCTTCCACTGGACTTGCACTTTCAGTCCTCTTGTCTTAGCGGCCCAGAGTGCTAGGATAATAGGCGTGCACTAGCATGTGCAACGTCATGATACTTTTCTCTCTTGTCTTCCCCTTTCTTTTTCTCTCTGTCTCTGTCTCTTTCTCTCTCTCTCTTTCTTTCTGTATCTCTCTCCTTGTTTCTTTCTTTGAGGCAGGGTCTTGCTATGCAGTTCAGGCTGGCATCAAACTCGCAGCGATCCCCCTGCCTCAGCCTCCCAAGTGCTGGGATTATAGGCATGCACCACCATTCCTGGCTTAATGATGACTTTTATTCACAATGAAAGCAGTTGGGTTATTCATGCTTTGCTTCTTGGAAATTTGTTCATGTATTAGGCTAATGTATCAGTGTGCACATTGGTTTTTTTAAAGAAAAGGTTCATTTGCCTATTCTTTCACTCATACAGAGTTGTTTGGCAGTGCACGAAAAGATTGGCCTCCTGAAGCAGATGGAATTGATTCGGTGATTATAGTAGACAGTGTTCCTCAGTTGGGACGTGACTGACTTGATGTCATCTGCAAGATCTTCTACAAATCTGGTAAAATCAGAAATGACTATTTTCCTGAAGAGAATGGAAAGACAAAACGGTGAGTTGACTGCATCACTGAAATAACCTTAGTGTTTTGGGTGATGATCACCCTTTGTGGGTACACACAGTGAATATTCACCGGGGGCAGAAATCAACATTTAACAAGGTGTAGTGGAGGCCAGGTGTGGTGGCGCACGCTTGTAATCCCAGCACCCAGGAGGCTGAGGCAGGAGCATTGTTTTGAGTTTGAGGCCAGCCTGGGCTACAAAGTGAGCTCAAGGCCAGCCTGAACTGCATAGCAAGACCCTGTCTCAAAAAGACAAAAATACCGAACAAAACAAGTTGAGTTGGCACACACCTATAATCCCAGTATATGGGAGGCTGAGGCAGGAGGATTGTTGGGAGTTCAAGACCAGCTTGGGGTGCATAATGAGTTCAGAGTTAGCCAGAAGTGCGTAGCAAGACTGTCTTAAAAAGAAACAAAGCTTTTGTTGAATGAGTGAATGAATGAATGAATGCCAGCTTTATCTGTAGATGAAGCCCATGGGGAGTCCCTTGTGGACTCAGTGCTGTAACACAACACTTTTAGCCTGAAAAGAATTGAGCTGGCTGTTTTTAGAACGAAGATCAGCCCTCAGCGGTTGTCTCCCTGAAGGGGATTTTAGGCAGAGGGAGGGGAGAGGAGGAACTAGAGTCCACAACGTCCTGCCCTAAGGCGCTGAAGGGCAGTGCTGGTGGAATGTAGTAGTGGGAGATCAGGGGAGGAGGCTCATGGTTTGGACTTTTATTATTTTGTTTGCAGTACAGGGAGCAGAACCCAGAGTTCTTAATCTACATTTCCGCTGCTTCTTAGATTTCTTTTTGGAAATAGCGTCTTGCTCTCGTGCTCTGTTGTCTAGGTCTGAGTTGAACTTAGCATTCTCCTACCATGGTCTGCCAGAGTACAGTGATTCCAGGAGTGGACCACCATTTCCAGCTTTGTTTCGTTTTTGAAGCAAGTTCTTATTGACTTGCCCTTGATCTTGAACCTTGAATTTGATGGCCTGGAGTCAAATAATCCTCCCCCCAGAGCATCCTGAGTAGCTGGGAATACAAATGTGCACTGAAGATAGGTAATTTTTACTCACGTTCAAAGTATGAAGACAGAGAGAAGGGTATGTGGCAGGAGCAGTGAAAGAAGGGAAGGAAATACAAGACGATGAGGTGGCTTGGGTGTAGAGAGATTGCAGAGTGGGTGAGTTCCAGAGGACACCTCCAGCCTTGGTGAGGGTGAAGTACTTGGCGATGCAGTAGCCAAAGGCAAGTGAGCTGTGAGGCGGTCTTTCAAGGCTGATCAGGCAGCACAGAGCTGCTCCCTGGCTGCCTGGCTTATGGAGACACTTGTCAGAAAGACCGGAAGGGCACACGTTATGCTCAATGTGTGCCTGTAAGGAGGGCAGCCATATCTGACTTCACTAACGGTGTCCTCTCACCTCACACAATGCCAAAGGTCACACTGTTGTAAAGGAAAAATTTTATGGGAGCCAGCTGTCATCTGGCTATAGATAAGCAACATGAGATTTTCTAGGAGGTGCTAAGAGTTTCAGGAAATGAACCCCCACCCTGTTCTCGGAAAAACCACAAAAGAACTCTGCTGTTTACTCAGGGTAACTCCCCTGCCCTTAATCTAAACTTCCTCATTCTTGTATCTCCCCGCCAATCCCCCACCAATGATTGTAAAGGTCAGTTTAAACTAACCAATGCTATTTGCTTCTGTAACTTCGTTTGCAAATACCCGCCCTTTGTGGTTTCTCGGCTTAAAAATCCGGCTGAACTCCGGCTCGGGGCTCTCTGTTCCTGCGCGTTCAGTGAGCCCCATGCATGCCTGGTAAATAAACTCCCCTTGCTTATTGCATGAGGGAGCGTCTCTTGGAGTCTTCCTTCATGCGGTGAGATTCTCGACTCTTACACTTGGAGGTCCCACCGAGATATCTCCACCGAGATATCTCTCTTCGTGAAGGAGACCCCAACAGTCTTCTCTCGGGGTAAGTACGGCCTCTGGCCTTTGTTTCTTTGGAGTGTGATCACCTAGGGTATTTGGGACTGGCTGTGGTATGGCCTCTGGCCTTTGCCTCTTTGGTATTTGAGACTGGCTGTGGCTGCCGACGAGACGCGTGAGCTCTCTCCAGCTGCAACCGACAGACGTGTCCAGGGGTTGCAAGCCACAACTCTGGGGGACGCCTCAGAGTGTCAGGACCTCCGGGGACGTCTGGATGTGTCCTATTTGGTTGATTCTAAACTGGTAATTCTTTTACCTGAGGTTCAGAAAATAGATATTAAGCCAGTAGAATCTGTGTATTTCTTGTTCTGTGTGTCTTGGAGACGTTTTGTGTCACTACTGATAGCTTTTTTGTTTGTGTGTCTCTGCTTGATGCTTGCTCTTGGCACTTTAACTTTGTCTCGACCAGTCTTGTCCCAAGCCATGGGCTTTATCTGTGCTCCCGAACAGTCATACCAAAATACATGTCTGCAACCTCCTGGCCTCCCGGCTACGGCCTGCTCCCTGCTCCATGTAGCCCAGGCCTGGTTTCTCCCTTTGAATTTCTCTGCTCTGCCACTCTCTTCAGCCAAACTAGCATATCATCCTGGCATTTCTTACTTTTCTTTCCTCTAAATGCACCTGCCTGTGCCTTTACCTTCTATTTTTCATCCACATGTGTTCACACATTGAACCTGAAGAAAAATTCCCTATCTTCCAGTCAGTGACAATACCACCATTTGGCTGGGTGTGGTGAACATACCTTTAGGCCCAACTGCTCAGGAGCCCCAGGGAGAGAATGGCCTGTGGCTTCAAGGCTATCTTCAGAAACATAATGTGACCCTGTTTCAAAACCAAAGGCAAAGAAAGCAAAACTCCAAAGCGGTGTTCTCTTTCCCTGAGCTCCCAGTACCTCTCTGCTCAGGTCCAATTCAAAGACACAATTTGGCAGGCAGAATCCTCATCTCTCCCACTTTTCCTGACCCCATGAGGTGGGAGCACTGTTGAAGGCTGGGTGTTGCGAAACATCTATGCATTCTTCAGCAATGATCAACTTCATCCTTTTCATCCTACAAGTGTTTATGTTATAGTGTGAGTCCATGGGGAAGTCCCTAAGGCATTTGATCCCGCTCATTCTGTCTTTCACCGGCCAAAGAAAACCTTAAGCCAAGCCGTGGGACCTCTGTGCCAGGGAACATGAAGCAAAGCAAGAGGCGATGTAGGAATCATTGGTGGGCTTCCTGCACACTGTGAGCCAGGCTCTGCGTTGTCCATGAGGGAGGAGAGGGACAGATGCAGAAAGAAACCCAGGTCACCGTCCCCATGGGGCAGGAGTCTTCCCAGGTCTCTGCACCTGGCTCGTGTCTTCAGCTCCGGGTGGGAGGCTCCTTCATGAGGCTCTGTGCAGTCCCGGTCTCCTCAAGCAGTTATGGTCTTGGGGAGCGCTGCTCACGGCTGATGGTCTCCAGAGCCGGAGGGATTCCATCTGTCCTTCCCAGGGCGCTGACCGGCTCCTTCTTGCCTGTGCCCCTGCCCAGCAATCTGCTTTCCTTCCCAGCTACCTGGCCAACAACATGGAGGAGGAAGCCGGGCCCCTACACAGGACATTCTCTTCTTTCTCTCCAGGGAGGACATCACACAGCGTGCCCAGTTCCACTCCCTGCACTTCCACTTTGTCCTCTGCGTGTGCTGGGACACTAGGGTGTCCCCCGGGGATTTGAAGAGGTAGGTGGATCATCAGCAATGGGGGGGGGGTCCCAGAGTGAGATGCGGTAGAGGTTGGGGTGACTGGGGACTAGAAAGATTTGGAGGCTGGATGGTCTCCAAATGGTCTCTTGGAGGTCTTCATCCTCTCAGAGGGCTGTTTCCCCTTCTAGATCCACGATTTTCATCCTGAACTCTAGGTGTGGCCGTGAGACCACACCTGTGCAACTTCGGGGCCTGAGAACACTGGCCTGAGGGCAAGTACATCTGCATCCCTAGTACGCAGAGCAGGAGCTGCTGTCTATTGAGAAGTCCAGGAAACCCAGCTGGGGACCTGTTTTATGATCCTCCTCCCCTGTTTGCTCCACATACTGTGCACCAGTACCGTCACTGGCACCAGGCTGCCCCCCAACCTCCAGCTGAAGAACACATGACCACCACACACACATGCCCTGGGGGGGCAGTGGTGGGCGCTGGGAGGCCACTTGGCCAGACCTCACATCTTCCTGGAGGAGCAGTTTTCACAGAAACCCTTTTACTATCACCAGCTGGGTCCATGGGAGACGCTGTGAAGGAATATTATTTCTGTCCTGAATGAGCAGCACCCTGCCATAAATTTGTAGTTCCAGCATAAATTGTTTTGTTTTGTTTTCTTTTCTGATTTAAATCTTTTCAACCTTTAGGGGCACCAAAAGTAGACACTGGACAAAGATGATTTTTATTTATTTATTTTTCAATTAGCAATAATTGCACCTAGATCAACCCCACTGGCCATCTACGATACTGCTACTGCGCAAAGCTAACAAAGTGAATACCGAACAGGAAGATACTGCAGTAGATGAAACAGGCTGCATATCCAGAAAGGAACAATGTATTCCTAATTGCCTGAGTTTCCAACGTAGCCTGCAGACACCGTGCTTACGGCCTGAGGGCTGTAGCACAGATCTCCCATCCCCATTTCCCCTTCTAGGAGACAGTCTCCTCCTGAACAATGACACATATTCACCTCAAAAAAACTGTCATGGATATTTGGTAGAATGGAGCAAGGTTCACCAAATCTGAGAAGCACAACTGGATATGATGGTTCAGAATTTGGGTTAAGAATGAAAACTTAGAGAGAAAACTGGATTAACAAGCTCATAGAAATTCCACTTGGAATTCACTTAAGATCGCCATCTTCTGTCTAGCAAATACGGCTCCATGAAGTCTGACGTTCTCTCTCCTTCGGCCACATCTCTTGGCCCACGGAAGATGAGCATTTTCGGCCCAAACACCAGACTTCTAGTAATGAGAGCCATGGGAGGGAACAGAGGAGCTTCCTGTCCAGACCATGGGGAAGAATGCAGCCTTCCAGAAGGAGCCAGTGGACTCCTCCACACAGTCCCGGGATCTCAGATCCACAGAGGGACAATTCTCAGCTCATTCATCCTGAGGCACTTTGTAAGTGTACACTCTAATAGCAGATCTCAGTTGGAAGACTTTTTTTCTTTTAAGTTGTTTGGTTTCTGCAGTCGGAGACTATTTGAAAGTGACTTCTGGTTATTCCAGGTAGGAAGGAATTACTTTTAAAACACAACATTAAAACCACAGGATTGTCAAGATTGCTTTAGTATTACTGTAGATATGATAAATTTATTTAGAACATATGAACCTAGATCCGGGTGTGTGGTGCACACCTGTAATCCCAGCACTCAGGAGGCTGAGGCAAGAGGATAGCTGTGAGTTGGAGATGTGCCTGGGCTACAAAGTGAGCAGCTCAAGGCCAGCCTGAACTGCATAGGGAGACCCTGCCTCAAAAAGAGACCAAAAAAAAATAAAAATAAAAAAATTAAAAAAATTAAAAACATATGAACCTAGAATTGTTACTATGTTTCTTTTTATGTAGCTTCAGTTACTATTGTTTTGAAAATCTGCTCTGACATAGAGCAATTCCTGAGGTTCATCAATGGAAATGGCAGCAGCACCCAAGGGGCAATAGGGTCCTGGTGGTGCCAGATGTGGCCATCAGAAGAGAAAATGACTGAGATATCTTTAGACTTCTGAAGTGGTACACTCATGTCACAAAAGGCCACTGTGGACCAATCCAAAGTCCTAACGGGGCAGAGAATAGCTGCTACCCAGGCCCTCACTAAGCTGCTCCTGCAGGAGTCTCAAGGCTGAGCCCTGTGGTCTGCCCATTCGATGTCCTTCTTCCCCTTCCCATCTGCGAGGCCCTGGCCTCATCCAGGACCTTTTCACAGGTAGCTATGGTTCACTCCCTGTTTTCCACACCCAGAGACTCCCCTGCCAGGTCCCAACCTAACACTGGTTCTCTTCACAGGGGATCCAGTCTTCAAGAGAGTCCTGGCTAGAACATGAACCTGAAGGCTTCTGACAAGGTGCGGTCCTTCTCCCCCGAGCTGGGCTCTCTTTATGGCACAGCCCAGGGAGGGTAGGGTCCCAGCCCCACAGTTATTCTTTGGTCCCTGCTAGGAACACTCACTTCAACCCCCAACCTCCAGCCCCTTTTGGACTCAGCACCATCT